CCCACACACCCATTACCCTCATTTCCTGTGTTGTGTGTTTTTTTCTCTCTTCTCTCTCTTTCTCTGTTTGTTTCACCGTAGTTTTCCGACTAGTAAAAACAAGAAGGAAGCTTTTCAGAGCTGCTATTTATAGAAAATTTCCAGATGTGTTATTTCGGTTTCGAATTCAGATGTGAGAGTTTGGAAACGATGTCTTTTCAGAATATATTTTCCCCTATGTAGTTAGATTTTTCAGTTAAAATAATAAGAAATAAGTAAATTATTTATAAAATTTGGACATCGCTTCACTAACCTTTCCCCAGTTAAGCAGTTTTGTCATGTTCGTTAACAATAAATTATTTGTTTTCTGTCATCTTATGCTTTTGCATACAAAATTGTTTTAATCTTGTTTTCCGATTTCTGTAATTTTTAATTGAGTGGAAGATTTTGTCATAAATATGTAGAAGATAAAAGATTCACTTCGTCGTTGTCGATTTGCTTGCATATTGTAAGGATATATAGCTTTTTTTTTTTTTTTTTTTTTTTTTTTTTTATAAGGGTTATTTTGTTTTGGCATTTTGTGTTGGTTCACTATAAAAGTCTGACTTACTTTTCAAATTGTTGCCACCAAATACAAAGACAAGAGCCCTGCATTATATTTAAAGAAATTAAATAATGAAAAATTTGCATGAATGGACATTGCGCCAAAAAAGGGGGGGGCAGTTCTATATCTCCCGTTCTACTGGGCCGATTGACGAAATTCAACTAGCGTCTTTCATGTCTCGAAAGCGCGATAGGATATGTATTAGATTTATATATATCATTGTTCTAATATAGATATTTTGACACAAACTCGGACCTTTTTCTGAAGTAACATACCAATTTTTTTCCATATTTCGATTCTACGACCCAAATTACGACAAACTACCAAGTTTTGTAAAAATCGCAGGAGTAGTTTTTTTAAAAAATTACCTCTCAAAATTTTAGCTCCTCAATGTTAATTGAGTTTGGTATATATTTATTAATCTCTCTTTTTTTATTAAAAGTATTTGATTCTTCCTTTCACATTTCGAAATTTAGGTTCATTCCAAATAAAATTGACCCATTTTTTATGATTTATTTTTAAAATTTGTATTTTTTAAATAATTTTTATAAAATTTTCAAAAAAAAATTGAATTATAATCTATAAAAATTTTACCATCTACTACTTTATTGGCACGTTTTGAAATTTGGCATATTTGTTGAAAGCGATAAAACATCAAATGTGGTTCACACACTTTGCTAGAATTATTTTAAAGTAGAAACGATGTGGCTTTTTTTTTCCCGCTCATGCACAGTGTAAAAAAGTAGGAACGAGGCATAATGGAAGGGAAAGGAAAATTGGTTGCCACAAATTAAGAGGTTCGCCAAATGAATTATTCTTGGCGCAAATTGAAAAAAATTGTGCCAAGCTAAATTTTTTAATCCGTAAATTTCGCACCAGAGTTGACAAGATTTAATATCTAGGCATAATTTGAGTCGTAGAATCGAAATATGGGAAAAAATTGGTATGTTATTTCAGAAAAAGTCCAATTTTATGTCAAAATACCAATGCTATATATAAATCTAAGTCACGCTTTCGAGACATGAAAAATGCAATTTGAATTTTGTCAATCGACTCAGTAGAACGGGAGATATAGAACTGCCTTTTTTTTTTTTTTTTTTTTTTTTTTTTTTTTTTTTTTTTTTTTTTTTTTGCACAGTGTACATATGTTTCTCGCATTGTGAAAAACAACGATACCTAGAAACATCAAATTTTAAATAACGTAATTCTCCACTCGAATGTGGGCATCTAGAAGCCCAAATTTGGAATTTGTTTTATTATCTATTTCATATTTTGCAAAATTTTGAAGAATTTTTTTATTTACAAAAACAATGAGTTAAAAGCGTTCCATTAACATTTACATCGGGTGCACCTTCCAAGCACGAATATTTTTATGCGCGAGGTTTCTTTACCTTTCTTACTGGTATTATGTTGGTAGGGTAGCAACACAAAGGCGTTATGATGTCTAACGGAATTTTTGCGTCGAATGACTTAGAATATCTGTATCACGTTTTGAATCCCCGCCAAAAAACCCCTTCGGGCGTAATACAAAATCTGAAAGTTTCAGATTTTATTTATTTGGTTATTCATTTAATTTTTGGTTTTTGTGTATTTTATTGCTTACATGTAAATACGTATTTGAAGAGATCAACTTTTATTGTTGGAATTAATGTTAATAAAAATTTGCATGAATAATAAAATTTTCTTTAAAAGTTAAGCTACTCAGAATGAAAGTATGAACATTCAAAGGATTTCTAATACTTGTCAAATGCGATTTTCTTTGTGCATTTTAGCTCCTTAAAGTACACTGACTACCAATAAGTATTTGGACACCTATGCAAATGACGATATCTGCGGTCCTAAGGTACGTCACGGACTCCGCCGGTATATATCGTGTAGGAAACAGCATCGGGTTTAGTCGCATGCAAGATGCCTCACAGTTCGGAGTTCTCTGATTTCGAGAAAGGTATAACTATCAGGTATCACAAATGTGGCCCATACTTAAGGGACATATCTAGCGATCTGAAGTACCCAAAATCGACAATGTCCTATGTGATTAAGAAGTGGAAGGTGAGTGGTGATTGTCGGAATGTGCCCAGAGTCTGCAGACCAACGAAACTGGGAGATAGAGACCGACGAGTGCTGTCCAGAGAAATGCGGAAGAACCGCACCCAACCGATGGATCTCATCCGCGAGGAGTTTCAACAGGCATCCGGGAGTATTGTTTCAATGAATACCATCCGTAAGGAAGCACATCTGCTTGGTTTTGATGGTCGTGCTGCTACCCATAAGCCTTTGATCACAAAATCCAACCGCGCTGCTCGGTTAATGTGGTGCAAAGCACATCGAAATTTGACCGTAGATCAGTGGAAACGGGTCTTTAGAGTGACGAATCAAGTTTCACCCTTTACCGTTCGGATGGCAGGGTCTGGGTCTGGCGTCTACCCGGAGAACGTCTCCTGCCAGAATGCAATGTGCCAACAGTCAAGTTCGGCGAAGGTGGAGTTATGGTCTGGGGGTGTTTCTCCTGGTATGGGCTGGGACCCTTGGTCCCCATTCATGGTAACCTCAACTCCGATGCCTACTGCACTATTTTGGATGACAATGTGCTTCCTACGTTGTGCCAGTTTTACGGGTTGGACCCCTGTTACTTTCAGGACGATAACGCCAGTTGTCATGTTTCGATGTTAACCAAGGCTTGGTATGGTGCCAATGGAGTTCATCGAATGGACTGGCCTGCCCAGAGTCCAGACCTGAACCCTATCGAGAACCTCTCGGACGAGTTGCATCCCCGAATTCAGGGGTACCCGTGCAAAATCGGTGAAGGAACTTCTATGTCTTCTAAAAACGGGGGGAAGAAAATACCACTAGCTGTCATACACAGACTTGTGGAAAGTATGCCCCGGAGGGTCCACGCTGTAATTACCTCTCGTGGAAGCTCTACCAACTATTGATTTTGAATATAGTTAGTTTTTCTTTTCTATCACAGGTGTCCAAATACTTATTAGTAGTCAGTGTAGTATCTTAATTATTGCCGAATCAGAGAAGGATCTGAACTTGCCGAAATTTTGCGCATGAAATTGTTAAATAACTGCATATAATCTTTCTGAAAAATTGCTATTTTAAGAATTAGAAGAATACCTCAGCTTGAAATTTAAAATTGATCGAAACCCAATTTTAAATGAGATTAATTTTTAACAGTAAAAAAAAAAAAAAAAAAAAAAAAAAAAAAAAAAAAAAAAAAAAAAATTCAACATTTTTTAGCAGAGCAGTATAGATTTGCGAAATATTTTTGCTGCTTTTAGAAAATACACCCATTTCATATTTTTGGAAATACATACAACACAACATTTTTCTAAAATTAAGGCTAATCTAAATTTGCAACTTTGAAACATGAAAAACTGGGGAGTTTTCACGTAACATGGTGACGCGATTTCAGAGAAATTGCATATTGGTAAGTCAAATACATAATTAGCTAATTACAACATGATTTTAATGCAATATGTATGAAATTAAAATCTAAAATATTAAATTAGGTACTGGTCAATTTGAATTTTAGAATTCTGTAATTTCCCTTCTCTTTTTGAAACAGAGAAGGATATATTTTATCTCTCAAAATGCTTTTAAATACGATAAAAATAAAATCAGCGTTATACCATTTATAAATGTGAATAAAAATTAAATGTAACTATTTATCAATTAAACATAAATAGTTACATTTAATTTTTATTCAATAGTTTTCATAAAATGCTTTGCAAATCTATAAAATACATTAAAACACTTCAGACAGAATAAAAAGTAATCAGAAAGATTAGCGTGGAAATCGTTTGGAAAAACAATGGGATTTGAATAGTTTTAAGATTTGCTAAGAAAGGACAATATTGTTGCCTTAGCTTTTTTTTAAGGATTTGTTACCAGCTTTTCTTCATAACATTTTCCCTTTTTTTTAATTACCTTTACTTAGTTTTTAATATCTTGGTACTTTACATGTTGTCATGGAAGATGGTGGAGATATCATTGAAGTTATGCTAATCGTTCCTAGAGGAAATGATACCTCTTTATTTGTTCGACCGGCTTCGTTTTTGCGTTTCGTAGAAAAAGATTCCATAACTTTGGAAATAATCCACTGCTTGCTGTTCTCTTGCTGCTGAAGCATTATTTAGACCATGCTTAAAAAGCACTGTTTAAGCATCCTAAAAGAATCTTTTAATAATCTAAAAATCTTTTAATATGCAGTTGCAGTTTGAAAGATTAATTGAAGAACATGTAGTTTTCATTGGGAATTCGAAATAATTTTTACATTGTGATTTTGTTTAAAATTTATTAAAAGTAATTCTGAATTTCTTCCTTCTGTCCTTGTGATAATTGCAGTATTCTTATAAATATGGATTTCATGCTAAAAACTGGCAGGTTTTAAAAGTGATTTTTTTCTTTCCAGTCCCTCTCCTCTTCATCTGCCAGATGCAATGGAACTTGGTTCATCATCTCAAACAGGTATGGTTTTATTATTATGGATTTCAGTTTATATGACCTGCTGTTTCATATTGTGTATATTTAATAAAGCATATATATTCCTTTCTAGGTCATTTATCACCTATTCAGGGGACTCTCACACGTACTGTAAGGGAATATGAGCAGGTATATATCAATCTTTCATTAAAATACTCTCTGTATTTAAAGTTTTTGGGGAACTCTGTGTAGGTATTTTTAATGTATCAAATGTTTTTAACTTCCAGCACTTGACAAATATCCTGTATGTGTACTGAATTTTTCTGTTTATATTTTGATGTGCTGAATATCTTTTTAATGTTGAATGTCGTCTACTGCACTATTCAGTTAAATTAAGCATAATAAATTCAAACCCTAATTATAATTAAAATATATTTTGAGTGCGTGATGTTGAAATATTGAAATTAAAACTCTAAGATAAGAATTCAAAATTTTTATACTTGAAAAGTATTTAATTTCTACAATATAATAATGATTACATAAAGTATATAATTTCTTTCAAGAAGTTCTAAATGAAATTCATTTATGAGAATTGGTTTGAAAAATCAAATGCAAAATTTTAAATATCAAATTAACAGTCAGTTTAAAATATAGATCATTTGAATAATATTCTCTTTCAGCATATTTTTCAATGTTTTTTAAATAAAAATCATTCATTGAATAAACCTGTATGCATTTGGTAGAGTGCACTGCGCCAAAAAAAGGGGGGGACAGTTCTATATCTCCTCTTCTACTGCTCCGATTGACGAAATTCAAATTGCGTTCTTCATGTCTCGAAAGCGCGACTAAGGATATATATTAGATTTATATATAGCTCTATAACATAGTTATTTTGACATGAAATCGGACTTTTTCTGAACTAGTATGCCAATTTTTTCCATATTTCGATTCTACGACTCAATTTATGCATAAATATGAAATTTTGTAAAATTTGGTGCGAAATTTACGGAGAAGTTCACAAATTTATGTTGGCACTTTTTTTCTTCAGTTTGCGCCAAAAGTAGTTAGTTCACTTGATGAACTTCTTAATATATTGCAACCTATTTTCCTTTCTCGTGAGCGGAAAAAAAAAGTCGCAATCTTTCCTTTTTTCAATTAATGTTCTTTATATTATATTTTTAATTATAATTCTTATTATCATAAGCAATTTTTTTCTTTTTCGAATTTCATTTTAATTGTTTAAGTTGCATGGTTTCTTTCAAATAACTGTTTTAAAAATTTCTATTTACCCATTCAAACTGTGTAATTTAAATGAAATGTGCATCGTTTATTTTCTTTCAAATAGTTTTTCTTTATATAATTTTTTTTTGTCATCGTTATTATTTTAGGTAATTTTTAAATTTGTAGACTTTTATTTTAATTGTTTGTGTTGCATTGTCTCTTCAGATAATTGTTTTTAAAATTTCTATTTATTCATTCGAACTGAGCATTTTAAATATATTTATCTAATATAAATTTTTCCAGGATTTTATTTTATTTAATTGAATTGCGGTTTCTTTCGGAAGAATAGTTTATGTCCGCAGACTACTATGCATCTGAAAACTGAATATATTAAAAGAGAAAATACAGTAAAGCACAGTTAACGTGTCTTTCAATGTTCTGTTCAGAAAAGATTATAAATGAGAAAGATGTATAACCAACATTTTAACTTAGGGCAACTTGCATATATTGCTTTAAATAGCTTTAACGTTGTGCTCATTGCAATTTTATCATCCTACATTTAGTTTCCTAAAATATTATTCATATTTTAGTCAAATATTTTATTTTTAAAATTGCAAGAATCAAATATCATAATATTAAAAAGTTTTAAATAAAAAAATTACTAAATTTTATGCAAATTAATTTTTTTCTTAATGGCTTGCTCTTTTTTTTCAATCATTCTGCAAGTATATTAAAAAGCATCCAACTTTTCAAAACATCTTGGTATTTAAACATTCATTTTAAATAAAGTTCTTGCCTTCCATTTCAGAAAGGCCCACAAATGGCCGAGCGGTAAAGTTGCTGAATACAGGTACAGGTAGTTCGCTCTGGGGTTTGAATCCCAGCGAACAGGCTGGTTGCGTGGGCGTTTTTGTGGTTTTTCTCAATGTAATGTGTATGCCAGCTGGTTTCCCTTAGAAAGTTCTTCACGAAGGCATCCTTCCTTTTAGGCAGATAGCCCTGCTTTGCCGTAACTTAATAATCCAATTCAATCCATTTCATCAGTATTTGGTCAGAGCCTTTATCAGTCTTTAGAGGCTAAGCATTTTGAAGGCATGAGTTGAAAGGAAAGACTGGTTTCATCAAGAGGGAAAACATCTTTAGGTGACATCCACATACATCACTGGATAAATTCCTGAATATTCAAATAATTCGACTAAGAAATTATGGGATTCTCCGTTTATGATGATATGATGTTCTATAACATAATTTATACAAACATATAGTCAAAAACTAGTTGCTCTTCACTTTAATCTGCAATGATATCATTTTTGTCTTTTCCATTAGTACAAGCTCAGTTGATGGTATTTGCTGGTGTACGTGTCCAAGTGTTTTCTCCTTGAACACCCAAATTCCTTCTGAAAGTATATTCAAAAGCATCCAAATTCTGAAATCATCCGTATTTTGAAAGTATATTCAAAAGCATCCAAATTTTGGAACACCTTGGTATTTCTGACAGCCAAATTCCCCTTCAAATTTTTGCTTACTTTTCTCCCTAATTTTCTGTTTTCGTTCTACATTTATTTTCAGTGCTCACCACAAGAAAATTGACATTTTTTGATTGTTACACTTCCATAAATTTTGCATTCTTGTCAATTTTTTAAAAAATATCAATTATATCAACTGTGTTTCAGTTGAAGACAGCTTTTCATTTTCTAAGGCATTTTAACTATAAAGTAAAGTTTAAAAGCAAAGGTCCAAAGGATAAATATTTTAATTAAAAGATTTTTTTTTTTTTTTTTTTTTTGCTAAAGGGACAAAGAAATAAAACAGTCCAGCAGTGTTTATTCTGTGCCACTGAGTAACCCGATTATTATATCGGCTACAAACAATCTAAATCATATTAAAGATCATGTTTTTTATACAATCTATAACACAAGGGAAAATTAGCTACTTAAAACATTCTTTCGAAGAGGATAATATAAACATTTATACTTATATATATAATTTTTAAAGCTGGGACATGACCCAAACTGTCAACATTCTGTTTGTTTAAAAACATTGTGAAAATAAACATCAAACGAACTTCACAGTTTTAGATAATTCAGTTTAAATGTAGTTAAGGTAAAGTAGCAGACGATAACACGGCAAAGGTAAAAATTTACTCTTTTAAAAAAAAGGGGGTGTTAAAAATTTGAATAATATCATCTATAATAAAAAAATAGCTTTTCATATAGTATTAATAAATATTTATTATGTATCATTGAACGAAAAATTTTCATATAATTAATTCTCCGTAAAAAATTATTTGAAATTTAAGGTTGAAAATAGCTGTGACAATTCACTGTAACAAAAATCCATACCAAATTTCAAAATGTGAAAATATGGTAAATTTATGTATATCTTAGAAAATTTTGAATAAAAAACTCTAATTTTTTGCAGGTATGCTTAGAACTACACCTACTTTAAGATGATGGTAAAAATGTTATAGGTTATAATTCAAAATTTTTTTCGAAAAATTTATAAAAATTATTTAAAAATAGAAATTAAAAAAATAAAACATAAAATTGGCTGAATTTTATTTGTAATGAACCTAAATTTCAAAATAGGAAAGGAAAAATCAAAATAGTTTAATAAAAAAGAGATATTAATAAATAGTATATGCCAAATTCAATTAACATCGAGGAGCTAAAATTTTGAGAGCTAATTTTTTTAAAACTACTTGTACGATTTTTACAAAACTTGGCAGTCTCGCATAATTTGAGTCATAGAATCGAAATGTATAAAAAAAATTGGTATGTTATTTAAAAAAAGTCCGATTTTGTGTCAAAATACCTATGTTAAATAGTGCTATATATAAATCTAATACAGTCAAAAGTCGTTAATTCAGACACCCATAGTCCAAACCCTCAAAGCTGCAAACTTTCTGTGCATGCGTCATGTTGACGCATGCGCATAGGCGGTTACGCATGCGCGTAAGACCTTTACGGCTACGAATATGCGTGTGCGCATGCGCATAATACGTTTACGCATGCACGTTTAACGTACAATGGATGGTATAAGCTAAGGTAAAATTATCTAATTCAGTTAATGTTGCAGATTGCATTGTTCCTTAATCTAATTGGGTCCGGCTTATTATTTTTTGCAGACTGTTAGAGCAATTTTATAAAAGTAAGCTTGAACCTTCGATTGTCGAATAGAATTTCCGATATATATTTACTAATATGTAAAGGATCTACAAAGCGAAAGTATGTTTCGAAGTACATTAAACAAAAAGTGGAATTGCTGCAAAAAATGAATAAGTGCATATCCTTTGTTTCTCTAACCATTCCGAAATCTGTTTATCAATTTCACGCTGCTCTACGGCAGGGGGTGGGGAAACGCTGCGGCGCTCAATGAATTGGAAGTTGATCTGTCAGCACTATCCTTATCTTCAGGGCAGATGTTTTTATTTTATTTGGCTTATAATTCCTTACTAAATGTAATATTTCATCTCGATGTACTACGTCTTTGATATGATTTAAATCAAATTCCTCATCATTATAATTCGCTTCCGATAGTGAAGAAAGTGACACAAAGGTTATTAAAAACTAAAAAATTTCGATTGACAAATTAGTCGGTATTCTCGACACAGCAATTATAGGACTTGAACAGCGGAACTTTGTAACTGAAAAAAAATTATGTCTGTTTATAGAATTAAAGAGAAAGTATTATCACATAAAACGAAGCAACTTACATTGAAAGAAATGTTTAATAAAGTAAACAAATAAATATTAAGCTTTTTCTTTTTTGTAAATTTTGATACCCTTTAGATCATAATTGCTCTTTTTTTCATAAATTATGGTTTTTATAATTTCTGCATGCCATCTTACTAGATTTAAACTGATGATCTATAATCCAGAAAAATCGATAATCCGGAATTGCCCAAGTCCCGACGAGTCCGGATTAACGACTTTTGACTGTATATATCCTAAGTCACGCTTTTGAGACATGAAAAACGCAATTTAATTTTTATTGATAGGCCTAGTAGAATGGAAGATATAGAACTGCGCCCTTTTTTTGTGCAGTGTACATTTTTATCGAGACACTATTAGCCTGAGACTGGAATCATTTTGTAAAATAACAGTACAATATATAAGTTTTGAAATTAAAGCTTTTTGAAGTTTAATTACAAATTTGCTTAATTTGTGTTTTTAGATAATGAATACATAGTTGAAATTTAATGCTACAAAATTACATGATATATATGTGAATTGCACTGGTATTTAATTAAGCAATTAAATCTTATTCATGTTTATCTTCCAATAAAATTTTTTGTTGCTATCGCAATTTATCATTTATTTGAAAATTCTGTGGAAATATTTTATACCTTCATAGGATTTATTCCACTCGACCAAGCTTTAATTTATGGAAGTTTATTATTTTGTAGTTAATTAATTATTTCGGTTCTTAAATTGGAAATGAAATAAAAATTGTTCTCTATTGAATTAGCATAAGCTCTGAATTTGAAGATGAAGGGATAATGAACATAAAACAAGAAAAATGTATTGCATTTAAAGTAATGTAGTTATGTTGCTGAAAAATTGGGCTAAGATAGCATTATACCTTTTCGTATATTTTTCAGCTTTATAAATTTTACGATTTTTTTTTTCTTTTTTATATATGCTTTATTCTACTAACAATAAAAAGTTTTGCACTTCTGTATATTTTTGGTTGAGATTTTACCTTTGCTGTTATTATAATATGTATAATAATAAATTTTCCTTGCAGACAATAGATGAACTGAAAAAAGAAAATTTTGAGTTAAAGTTGCGGATATATTTAATAGAAGAAGATGTAGCTAAACACTATCGTAGGATCAATGCTCCTGATTCTGATGATAAGAATGCTAGTAATGTTCATGTGGTATGTACAGATTTGTAAATGATTATTTAAATTAGTAAAATAATTTTTAACTTAACTGTTACAATAAACAGAAAGGTTAAACTTTGGTATTTTTGTAGGTATACAATACATATACTCTGCTAAAGATGCAAAATTAATAAGTTGATATTATTTATATTTATAAATTACTAGAGTTTGGTCTTTCTAGTAAAACAGAAAAACTAAGCAAAACACTTGCTTGGGTAAAAGTCAAGAATTCAAAAATTTCTTATATAATTTTGGGATAAACTATTCAAGTCATGTAATATTTGTTTGTTAATAGTATGAAAAATGATTTAGTGAAAAAGTGCGTCCATTTGTCTTCATAAACAAGCTTTTTTCCTTTAAAAGTAGCAAAACATGCTTTTTTACAGAAATATTAGCTTTCAAGACCTCAAGGTATTAGACCTCAAGCTTTCAAAATTTCTATCAAGCTCATTTATTTAGAGTTACCTGTAGCAGAAGTCTCAGATTATATGCGTGCCAAATGCACAATCCTAATACTGCTGATGGATTGGAAACTTTTTTTAACAAAATATGTATTATTTTAAATAAATTTTAAGTTTTGTTTATTAAGCATTTATCAAAACATACATAAATAATAATAATAACAACATTGAGTAGAGAAGAAAATAAAATCTATATTTATTTTCTGTGTGAAATCTAAAGTTTGGTAACTGCAAAACATTTTTGTTAGTTACATCTTGTAATTCAAATATACTAACAGCTGAATATTGAATTCTTAGACTGGCATTTCTTTAAAATAATTCTAATATGTTTAATTAATCATTAAATAATTTAATTTAGATTAAAAAATAAAGAAATGATAAAAACTATTGAAGCTTTCAGAGAAAATGTACCTTGTAATAAAAAAGAGAATAAAGATCCACAATTTAGTCTCTTTTTCTAATTTATTAAATTTTACATGTAAATAAAAGATTAATATGTTTACATGTAAATAATTATAAACTTTTGTATTTCTTACTGCACTTTGACGCTTGATGGCATTTGAATTTTGATAAAGTTTGTAGTCTTGAAAGAAATTACTAAATATTATTATCATCACAGATTGCTGATTTTTTTTGTTACTAATTTTCAACTGTAAAAGAAAAAAGATGTTCACATATAAATATATTCCCAAACAAAATGTTTATTCTTAGTGCAAAACTTTGTAACCAAGTTTCTTAATTTTTTGAAAAGTATGAATTAAAGTTATAAAATCCCTAACTTCAAATCTTTTAATAAGATTGATATCACACTGTAAATTAATTAGCACTGTTTCTATATTTTCTAGTGTATTATTCATGCTGTTTTTAATAGAAATGAAAATAATATAAACTCAGACAGATGTACAGATAACAGAAATCTTGAAATCTTTGCAGCACCAACTTTGCAACAAAAACATAATTGAAATGTCTCTGAAGGCCACATAAAATTGCTTTAGTGACTGCATGTGACTGGCGAGCTGCCAGTTTGAGACTACTGACCTATTGAATGACAGCCTTTTTGTTCAATAGTATTCCTGTCTTCCAAAAGATAAATTTAAACAACTTTGATTATACTGCTAGGAGTTGTTTTTCATTGGTGTAAATTTTGTTTACTTGCCTCATGCATTAAAAAAATTCCATTAAATCTTTAGAAATAAAAGTGTCTAATAATTAGTGATGACAAAGTATATAAATTTAGCATAATTATAGATTAAAATTTGCTATGCTATGATCTAATTTTGTTTTTCTTCCCTCTCCTTTTTTATCACTTTTAAGAGGCTTATGGCATACAGTGTTTATGTGTTTTAAAAATTTATTAATGCAGTGATAAATATAATGCAGTTTTGCTGTAATCTTTTTTAAAATTTATTTATTTTTAATTTTTCAATTGATTAAAATCTTTTTGTATTTCTTTTCTATTTAGGCTGTGGATCTAAAAGTAGAAACAGAAAGTTTGCGCAATGAATTGAATGAAAAGAACAAGCTTCTTCAAGATGCATTGTAAATTTCAATATATATTTTCCTTAGTAAATATCTTTATCAGTTGTTTATAAATTAGTTGTTTTCCTTATTTTGCATATTGATAATTTTTTAAGGGACCAAGCTGAGAAGTATGCATCTGATTTGAAAGAGTTGCAGGATGAATATGTTCAATTACAAGCACAATTTTCTTCATTTACTGAGGTATATTTATATGTAATTTTATCATACCTAAATAGTTAATGCTGTTTTGCTATCACTTTATAATTTAGACAGTATCTCATTCTTTATTTTCTTTTATGCAATAATTTCATCTATTGTTGTGATAATTTTTAAGTAAATATTTTGTTGATAGTGTTGGTTTATTTCCATTCTCATAACATTGTCAATGGAGTTTTCAAATTGTAAGAACTGGAAATGATTCAAAGAATGCAGAATAAGTATAGACTAGAGCATGGGTATAAAAGAATGAATTTCTGAAATTCGTGTTGCATGTAATCTGATTATAATTTTCAGATGTGATTCTTAAAAAGATAACATCTCATGCTTTTGATCATGCATTTTATTTTGCACATTGGTTTCTAAGCTGTTTTAAAACTGTCTTTACAATTTTGCCTCCTCATAAACTCTATTATTTTTTTTTTTTTTTTTAAGGGCGGGAGGACGTATAACATCTTAATGAAGTCCTTTTTTTTTTTTTTTAATTTAAAAGGTTTTTATACTTTTAAATACAATTTTTATTTAACCCATAGCTTGTGATGCTGATTTCGTGGAAAAGTTCCCATTATACCATAGTACAAATATAGAAATTTGTACACAAAATACTGAAATAAAATCTACCATCTAGATTAGTGCTGCTTGATTTTCATTCCTGCATTTCCTCTTCTCACATGAGACAAGAGAGCCATCCCATGTGTTTTTTCCTTTTATACCTCCCCCCCCAATCCATATGTATAGGTAAGGTAGGTAATGTTTATGTTTCAAAAATTTGGTATTGAGTTTTCAGGGAATAAGCATGAATTACGATTCCTGCAATACATATTTACTATTTTTATAGTGATAGTTGTCTGTGTGATCTCTTTTTGTACTTGAAGTGCCATAATAATTTTGAATGAAAAACTGAAAAATGGTACTTCATTTAAGCCCATAACAGTTTTCAATGAAAAACTAAATATTAAAATGTAACCCAAAACTTTGCAATTTTCATATTAAAAATTTTTATATCAATGGAGAAAACATATTAATTTTTGGCTGAAATGGATAAACCAGAAGTCATAATTAATTGAAGCTCTGAATAGATTTTCGTCAAAAATATATTATGATATAATCCAATATTTCTCAAATTTGGTATTTAAAACTTGTATATGCATATACGAGTAGAATGCATCCAAGAAAAAGCAATTTTTACATATGGTCAATTATGCCTAATAAAATGTAATATGCAGTGTCATATTACAGACTTTTCAATTAACTAAATTTTGTTTACTAATGGTCAGTCAGAAGTGATACTTACTGAAAGCTTGTGTAAAGTGTGTAATTGGCAGGAGGTTATGTGCTGGCAACATCAGATTTTTTTCAAGTGCTATAATCTACATATACTACATATTTTGATTTTATTTGGATTTATCCAAAATAATTTGGGTTTTATATTTTATTCCCCCTTCCCTTTTTCATTTATGTACTATATTTGTGTTAAAGTTTAATAAAGATATTACTGGATTTTCTTTAAATATTCCCTTACAGTTTAGAGCAGGGGTTACTGAACCCTTTATTCCCCATGCCACTGCTAGAAGTTCATTCCCCCCTCCTTTCCAAAACTTGAAAATTACATTTGCATTGATTTAGATTATTTTTAATGTGTTTTAGTAACTAAACAACAAAAAAGTGTAGAAAATTTTGATAAATACCAAAATTCAAATAAAGGTATTATGAAAAGGAGGAGGGTGCTATTGCTTTTTTGACTATAGTTTTTTGAAAGCATCCATTATTATGCATTTATTATTCTATAGCTGTTATTTGGTTTTTATTACTTTACTGGCTATTGTTTTACTTTGCTGTTTATATAAGTCTGAACTTTTAATATGGAATGTCATTGGTATGTTTTTTATGTCCCTAACAGATGCCATATCATCTACTTTTTTATATGCATAGATTTCGAGTACTTCCATATGTAACAGTTTTAGCATTTTAGAGAAAACAGTCTTTAAGAATTCTAAGTGATTATGATTCTCATATGCTCTTTATATATATAAGAGAATTGTAAATCATATAAATTCATTTTGGCATGTGTAATGTATTTTCTGAGCGTTGTTTTAAAGAGAGAAAGTAATTATATTTTTCATTTAATTTATTGAGAACATGGTAGAAAAATAAAATTTATCAAGAAATCATACATATTTCTGAGGCAGATAATTTTTTAAATGTCTTTTAATTTTGGCATTAATAAATAATTAGGATTTTTCTGATGAAAAGATATGAATTCATAATGTTATGTGCATAATATAGTTATTACATTATTCTGTAATGTCGTATATGTTATGTTCAAAAGTTATTCTTTTCAGTACATAATAATTCTTTTTGATACATATTCAAAACATTTTGCAGGGTCCATCGCTACAAGATCTTGAATTACTAGAGGATAAAAAAGAAAATCTTCTGAAAGAAACAGAATATCTGAAAGGCCTACTTTCTGAGAAAGATAAGGAAGTAGAAGTATGAACATCCACTTATTTTGTATTACTAGTTGTACTCTGTTTGGAGGCAGGGTATTTATCCATTTGAATGTTTTAAATTTCATTAATAGTTATATAACATAAAGCTTTTATTGATTTCAAACAATTCTAATGCCTATGATGAATATTTTTAATGTAACAAAACAACACTGTATTTATGTAAATTGGCTTATCTTCCATTTTTTTTAAAATTTGAATGAATAATGTGGCTTTTTAATTAAATACTGGAAAATTTATATTTTGTAAATTCTGAATATTTATGATTAGCCATTATAAAATTTAGAAGCACAGAAGTGATGATGCCTTTTTTTATTAGATAGTCAGAATATGACAAATTGCACTTGCAAGCTTTTATAATTAGGCTTATGACTGAGACATGCCAAAATTTCTAATATAAAAATATAGAATGTTGCATGTGTACATGTGTAATATGTGTGCTAAAGAGCCAGGGAGACTAGAATGCAGATGAGCTTTTATAAAGCAATATTTACTATGCATGTAAATGGTTATTACTGTTCTGCTAAGTATTTAAATGGGTGTACCAGTTTTTTCCCTCTTTCAGAGTGTGTATATGTGTGCCTATTAATTTACACATACACATAGGCTGATTGAAAAGTTTAAAGTGATAATTTTATTCGGAATCAGCTGATTCTGTGTTGGATTCCGTACTTTTCCCCATCTATAGAGTCCTTCACATTAAATTATATTTATGGAGAATTTTATGAATGATTCAAGAACATGAAATAGTCTGTTTTATGTCATCCCTTTCAGCACTGAGACTGTGGTATTTTTAACAACCGTATCTTGAGAAAACTCTTTCCATGCAGTTATGTTGAAGACAACCAGAAATCATTTTATGCTAGTTTGTGCTGTATAGGGGCATTCTAATTTTGTATGATTGCTTTTAAGCAGTGTTGCCAATACTATAACAGCAACATGCAGTCAGGCATTGTTGAGCAAAATCCATCCTTTCCCTCATAGCGGCATGAAAAGCGCCTTTTAGGATGTAACAGGCATTGTTTACTGTCAGCACATGAGTTGACAATATTGATTTGTAGCAGTTGTCTGCTGGAACATGCTTTATTGATCATTTACATACTATTTCCTGTGAAGTCGCTCCACTGTTGAAATGCAGATGCATAACCATTTCACCCCATGTGTATGACATGGTGCTTCATTACCACATTTTGGAACGTTTAATATAAACCTCCTACTCTGTTTTCACAGAAAAGTCTTTGTCATTTGCAACTAGTTACAGCTAGCCAGGTGTTTCACTGTGACCAGTACTGAAAGTTATAGCTGTCTAACTGCAGGTCAGATGTTTTGATCCACGATATTCACAAAGCCAGGAAAGAAAAATGGCAAACTTTTCAGTGAGCTGTTAATTGTGCAAGCGTGTGTATGCATACTTATGCAAAACAGAGTATGTTGCCTTTCATGACTGGATACCCATAGAAAATTGTTTTGCTGGAATTAGTGTGATGTCACTTTAATGCATTTGTTGCTATCACATTCAAGGCGAAACATTTTTCAAAGTTTCAGTAGATGTCTGTAAGTATTTTCTTGTATTCTCACTGTAACAGGCAAGTATTTCTGTCCAGATTTGTGTCAGTTTGGTCTGGCTGTTGACCAGTGGTTTTCTCAATGTTTGTTTCCACTGAGTGAAGGGCTGGGTGCTGGCTAGTTCGTTCAATCCCATTTCCTCGAATCATTTGGTTATGATTTTAGCCTTATGAAATGGTTGAATTATTGTAAATAAAATTAATTTTAAAAGCATAATTTTGAGTTATTTGGAGCAATGAATACTTATTTTTTAGCACAATAAAGGTGCAGTATGCTTGATATGTCACTGGAACATGGCTGCTTCATCAGAATGAAACATCAAGTGACATTAATTGCCTCTCAGGCTGAGTGAGCTCTCTGATATATAGTGCAACAGGATAATAATGCAAGCTGCAATCTTGAGGAAGCTGATGAGACCAATTATTTGGTAGGCAAAGGAATAATTAATAGAATTATCAAATAAAATGATCTTAATAGCAATCAAGTATCAAACAGAAAATTCATGAAAGACTGCTTAATCATACTATTTGCGTCTAGTGCATATTTAACTGTAGGTCAAGATATAAAAAACAATTTTTTCACATCATTGGTACAAAAGGAATAAAGCATTTTAGTTAGGTTTGTGGAAACTGTATCATTAAAAGCTTCAAACTCTACTGTTTTTACAGTTTAGTGCTGTAAAGTTTTATCTTAGCATATGAAACTGACAGCAAAGCACTGTAGAGCAGCATTCGGCAACTGGTAGTCCGCAGACCACTGGTGGTTTGTGAAACCTTTTTGATGGTCTGCAGAAAAATTCTGAAATTATTTATATTTTTATGAAGATTCAGTTTAAAAAATGAGGAGTAACAAAACTGTTGGGTAGAGGCGAGCAAAGTTTTTTTCTGAAGCACATGCATATTAATTATGTTGGCACAGCTGTCTCCCCACACATCCGTCATTCGAGTGTATGGAGATGGTGAGATAATATATGCTGTGTGATGGTCAATATAATTTGTGGTGTGATCTTTTTATTCATTGTTCGTGTAAATAAAATGTGTTGTCCTACGATGGCTTCTTTACTCTAAATATGGTCCTCTGAACAGCAAATGGTAGCAGAGCATGGTTATATCAAGAAGAATTGGATATAAAATACCAAGTACAAACCGAAACTGTCTTAGTGGAAGCCAAAAATGGAGAAGTAGAACGTTCCTGAATTAACTGGCAAGAAGTATTTTATCTGGGCATTGAAAATTAAAGCTGCCTTATCACTGAAAAGACTTGACTTATTAATTTCGACTACAGAACCAGAAAACTTAGACGAGAAAGATGAAAGATTGTGGAATGAAAAAAACGCTGATGCCATATCGTATATAAAACTTTCACTATCGGATCAACAGGTGCTTGAGTTCTCCGCAGAAGAGAATGAAAAAATTCTTTGGGAGAAAATAAAATCAACATTTACGGGGCAAGTCGAAAATCGAAAAATAGATGCTGGTAATGAGTTAAAAAATTTAGAAATGAAGTTGCATGAGTCGGCTAATGATTATATTGCAAGAGCGAGAGGAATAGCTACTAAGGGCCAATCGCTAGGACTAAAAGTATCTCCTCGGGAAATTGGTGTTTTTCACAGTCCATGGATCAAAATCATGCTAGGACAACAAAAACCTATTATGAAATATGGATTATACATTTTTTTTTTAAATTTTAGCTACTACTTTTAGCAAAATACTTCTGAATTTAGTGAGTTTTTAGCTACTTTTGCTGATGTATCTAGCGACATTTGAAAGTAAGAGTTGGCATTCATGGATATACTGCGGTTATCAACAATAGCGCAAACTGGAATTCTCTTTCCTTTTGAATTACAAACATGTGCTACTGTAGTCTTTAATAACACAGTTTTTCTCCGTGTCAATAGCATCTTGATGGATTTTTATGGGAATCATCTGATCGATGGTGCCATTGCTGAGTAAGCAATGATGATTATGTTTACAATAATTAAAACTTTGTGGCATAACACTGTCAGTTTATTGATATTGCTTTGTGTTTGTGGGTTTGTTCTTGCTTTTCGCGAGGTTCCTTTTCAATGATATGGAAATGGGAAGCTTTCTGTATAAGAAGGTAAGAATTTTGTACTTTTCATGTAATTTTTCAATGTGAACGAAATATGTGTAGTGCTGATTATTATTGCATAAATGTATTTATCTTTTTTTTAAATTCATATTAGTGGTCCATCAAATATAAAATTATATATGTAGAGGTCCGTGATGTTCTAAGTGTTGACGACCGCTGCTCTAGACCATTTGCATATGGAGAATTCTACAAGACTACCTGGCTCATATTTACGTTATAACTTAGGATGTCCACAGAAATCATATATAGCCATTTGGTGGCTAAAATATTTCCCCAAACTGTGCTTTCCTTTTAGATTATGCCTAGTTTTGTTAGTATTTGCACAATTTTTGATCATCTGATCTTTTAACTTTCTGTCGAAGAAAATTGTCTAAAACAGAAAATTGTCTTCAATTTCTAATGAAATATAAGAGCTAAGCAAAAATATTAAATGAATGTTTACTAAAAAGATTTTATTTTGCAAGTTAATTTTTATGTATTTACTACTACTACTTGTCTTCTGCATTAAAAATCACTTAAATTCTTTTTATAATTTTTTTTTTTTTTTTTCCCCTTTAGGTTGCTAATTCCAGAGCAGAAGAATTTGAAAATCAAGTTCAAGTATTGAAAGAAAAAGTTAAAAAAAGCAGTATGGCAATCCAAGGGCTTGTATGTAAATATCATAATGATGTTGAAATGATTCCTAAAGAACTTCGTCCTATCATTCAGTCTGCAGTAACAGCTGCAAACAATGAAAACCGAGAGGACCTTGCTGCTGCAATAGAAAATTTTAAAGCATCTCTAAATCAAGTAAATATTTGTTTGTAGAATTTTTAAACTAGCAAAATGTCAGGCACATAAGCCTGGCATTTTTCAGATTTTGATTGTATTATCTCTCCACACTGCCCATGTGAAATTGGGTGTTTCCTCATCTCATATTACTTTAATCATTGTATAGAAGAATGTCAAATAAAAATTTTTAAATAATAATGAGGCATGTACTAGTTAGGTGTTTTGTTTCTTTATCATAAATAAGATTTCAAAATTAGAATTTGTACATGATGAGTTGTAAAATAAGGATTTAAACATCATTTCTTTCTAATAATTTAACCAACTTTAATAAACACTTTTGAAAAATTTCAAATATTTTGTCTCAGCTTGAAAAATTAGTTTAATTAACTCAATTTAAAAATTCTTTCAGAAGTTGCATGTCAATATTCCATTTGATTTGCTTTTAGAATAATTAAAAGATGTAAAAGTTCTAATCAGAACTATTTGAGTTATTAGTTGCATTCTCCCTTGTGGCTGTGAAGTACTGAAGAGAATAAAGTATATATAATCCCTCAGTAGAAGCCAAGAAATGTATGAGGGCTGTCTTCTTGATATGCCTATCTGGTGGTTATCAACGTTCCAGTAGCTGTGGTTCTGTCCTGTATGGTGCGATAATTTTATGCATGGAATCCTGACGTATAGCTGTTGAATAGAAATGAGAATCTAGCAGAGTATCGGGGTCAGCATTCAGCATTTACATGAACTATCACATGGAATTGTTACAGCCAAATACCTGTCAATATATCAGTCAAGTTAATCACCTGTTATTCATCATGTTATGTTTTTCGTCACATGTCATAGGTTGACATATCCTGTTGATCTGTCTGGTATAAAGCTCATGTTTGGTAGGAAACAGCGTTTTATACTATGCAAATACTCTCAAAATTACCAGACACCAACAACAAAGGCTAAATGATAAAAGAAAGAACAAAAGTTATTAACTGATAGTTATGTATACTTTAAATTCTGAAACACGGAGAAATAAAGTATATATTTTATAATGCTTTTTAATCATCCCATATATTTCTATTAGTTTCACTAACTAAATATAAACTTTTAATGTTTGTAACTTATTTTTCTCTGACCATAATTTTGCTATAGCATTTAAACTTGATGGGAAAACGCTAATTAATATTTGGTTGTTTTGATAAACCTTGGAATACATGACAGTAGTAAATTGTGAATTTATTTATATAGAAATAAATTATGAACTTTGAAATATTTATTTAAAAAAGAATGTAGTTTTATTCAATTAACTTTTAATGTATTACAGTTAATGCCCACGCCACCTGAAATTTGTGATAGCAGTTCTGAACGTAGCAGAAGTAAACATGAAAGTTCTCAATTAGAGGTCAGTGTATGTATCTGTTTGCAATCTTGTAATTTCTTCAATATCATGATTCTTAAGTTTGTTCAGGTAATAACATGACATCTGAGGTGTTTTTATATTTTTGTAAGTTTAAAAGAAAAATGTAATACTGATTATTAGATTTTATGTATATTAAATTTTGCAATGTAGCTAATATAAAGAACAATACTTTAATAAAATAATAAATCAATTCTTTCTTTATTAATCTGCTAATTATTAAATTTCGTCGTAAAGTCTTCAAACATTTCTTTAGACCAATTCAGTGGTACATTTTGATAAAAATTCGTTTTCCTAAGTAAGAAAGCTTCTTAAGTAGCAGATATTTAATTGATCTTTCTTTTAAATATGAACATTTTATTTTAGTTAGAATAAATACTTTAAATGTTAATGGAATAGTAATTTGTTGTGAGTGACAACATTAAAATTTGCTTTGTAATTGACGAGTAAATTGCAAAATTCTTGAAAATTTCATGATCCAGAATTCACAATAACAATAACATAAAAAATTATGTCAATATGAAAATTTCATGGTGCAGGGTTTACAATAACAATAACATAAATAATTGTATCTATGCCCTTACATGAAATAAAGATATCCATTTAAGGGGAAAGCATTTGGTTAAATCTTATTATATAACTATTGTATCACTTTAAAGGAGTATCTGTTACTTTGTAGCACATTTGTAAATTTAGTTAAAAATTGATCAGCATTATTATTTTTCATGGGTATTGATATACAGCTGTGTGTGGCTAAGTGATTGTTTTCATATTCCAGATGTTTAAACAACTTTCCTTAACAGGATATTTTTTTAATTCTCATTATATATGATGAAATTCAGTTATTGGTTTGCCTTCATCTAGATGACTAAAAATAAGTAAATCATCATCACCTAAAAGGTCCAAGAATCTAAATTTATCAGAGTCAAACATTATGCTTGCTTTCCAGCTAGCTGATGAGAACTTTGCTTACTTTTTTCCTTTTCATACAGCAAATAGACAGGTTTCAGTTAGCGATTCAAGCTAAAGTTCTGTAATCAGGATTAAAAGTTCTAATTTGAATTTTTGAATAGGAGTATTTTGCAATATATTTATCATGCAGTTTTCAATGAAATATTACTGTATTTTTAATTTATTTAAAATAAATATTAAATTTACTAAAACATAAAAATAATCCAATTCTTATAGAAATTAGAAAATGTCTGAAAATCATGGATTTATTTGATAACCTCAGAAAGACTTGGTATTTGCAAAAAAGTAGAAATTGTAGAAAATGTCCCTAAAATCTACAAAATTCTTCATGGAAATTTGTGCTAGGATTAAATGATTATCCAAATCATAATCAATTTTGTTGTTCATAATTCTATCTTGCTTTATCTACAGTATTTATCCTGTATTTGTTGCCTTAATATAATGAAAAGAAAATTATTATCAAATATTTCTTATAAAATTCAGTATGAATCAATAATTTCATGAAAATTATTTTATAATCATTGCACCAAATTAAATGAATGAAATTCTTGTGTATTAGACATCATTCATTCCATTTGACAAAAAATTTCTCAAATTAGAAGCACAAGAAGTTATTGCAATGCAAAATTATGTGAGCATAGCTTCAAATGATTTTCAACATTGTTATTTCAAACTTTAATTCAAATTATTCTTTTCAGTAGTATATGCTACATTAGAACGTAATTTAAAGTTTCATATTTTTAAAATATATCTTAATTGCTAAAAATTGTTGAATTAATGACTCATTGTCTTAAAGTAAATTACTGAGTACTAGAGTAATAATGCCACATCTCACTCACTGAGTAAGGTAATCTGCATTGACAGAATGTAATCAGTCCACAGATGAAATGCATTTATAACAAATGATAAAAATAAGAAAAAATTATGGCCCATCAGCTGCTTTTATATTGAGCATTCTACTCGTGTACAATTCAGTTTGAAACCACTGCTGTGTGGTTTCAAACTGAATGCATTGTAGTTATTGCCACTGTACATGCATTGTAGTTATTATTCATATAAATTCTGGGAGCTTTTTAATGTTCTAATAATTATCTATTATCTTTATGTAATTGAAAGTGAATTCAATAACATTTTGAATGTTTGATTTTTATAGGACACGCATGGACATACACAAGCAATATCATCCTTGAATGCAAGTGAAAGCAAATATGTCTATAATGAAAAGTCAGATTCTCTTCTTTCAGAAAGCAGAAGTTTAAACCATTCCCAAAAGGCAGAGAATATATCAGTTGATTTATCAGCTGTGCTAAAAGAAAATGAAGAACTGAAATCTGAAATTGAAGAGAAGTTAGCAACTATCAATGATCTAACTGCAACATGTAATGATTTGGAGCAAAGAACTATTCAGTTACAAACTGAATTACATGATGCCATAGAAAAAGTGAAGCAATATGAAATGAAGCCTAGGGAAGAAAAGGGCAAAGTAAGTGTATTTATATGTTATATACATGCAGGTTTAGTACCCCCAACAAGTATTTGATTTTATATATCTGCCTTTCACTTCTGCTGTAATGTTTTGTTTGTTGATTTAATGTATTGTTATAAACATTTGAAGAAACTGATTATTAATTAAACTTCCATGTCAGCTTTTTGTTTAAAATACAGCTTAAAGATATGTTTTGTGGAATCAAATTCACATAATTTTAAATTAATTGTAATGTTTAACATTATACTTGATGATGTTGCATGAAAATGGTTCATACATATATTTTAAAAAAAACAAGAAAAGAAAAAATATTAGAGCTGCAGTTTGATAGTAATTAATACAATTCTGGGTAAAAAGCAGAGAATAATTCCAATAATTTGCGGAGAATTTCCGAATTTTCCTGGCAACTTCTATCCAGTAGTCGGCAACCTTGTAGCTGTGGTGTGCCAAACCAGTCTACCAATATGATTCAGAATGCTACACAATAGGGAATATTTTAAATAATTCGATTTCTACAGCAGTACATGCAGATTTAGGGAATAGAGGTCAAGAATACAGATTTAAAGTTTTATTGTATTTTAATTATGCAACATTTAAAGATATTTATTAACATAAAAATAAACAATATAGTAAAAAAATTAACAACCTAAAATTCCCTCAATATAGTAGTTACATAAAAAATTAAAGTTTTAATGCAAACCTTGTACTTGCACTACTGAATATTTAAATATTGGGTACAATTTGTGACTTTTAATTTGACACATGATTCCAAATATTCAGTTGTTATATAACTTCTTTGTGAATTCAAATATTTTTCATATGAGAAAAGATTTATTCTTATATGTAGAACCAAAAGTGGAAAGCAGAACACATACAATTTTCTTGAATAAATTACATTTTTCCAGCAATGACATCCAACAATTTAAAAAAAAAATCTATCATTAGAGTGATCTTCCAGATTTTTTCACAGTTCCTTAAATTTTGCTTTCCACAATTCTGAAAATGTTAGTTCAGTAAGTTCCATTTCAAAATTACCAACTTCCATCCATTCAAAAATTGACAAATCAAATGGAATTATTAAAGAGTCTATTAAAAGTTTGGTTTGATTGTTAAGGAAAATACAAGCATACAAACTTCAGAGTCTTTGCATCTTTTGGAAAATTCCTCCTTAACTGCTTCAACATAGGTTTAAAATTAATCTTTGGTGAATATATTTGCAAATGGGAATATTTGGGAAGTATTTTAGGCACTAATATTAATATCATGAGAAAATATGTTAATTTTGTAGTAAAGCCTTTCCAACATTAAAAAATAATAAAGTACTATTTGGCCTTTTCCTTGCAACCTGAAGTTTAGTTTAATGAGATGTATAGTTATATCAGTCAAGAAACATCAATTTGCATAACCATTCTTTATTGTTGAATTTGGGAAATGTTCCTTCTCATTAAGAAAAAGTTTAATGTGTTCCATGCATGACACAAACTAATTCAAGACATTATCTCGACTAAGCCAGCGGACTTAGCTGTATAAGGAGAGACCCACATATTCACTTTCCATCTCTTTTAAACAAGATTTAAATTGCCTGTGTACCAATGAAGAACAAAAGATATTATGAAACTAACTGTTTTAAACACAGTGTTCATTACAGAAATTAAGTGCTATGACGAAATTTTAGCAACTAAACTTTACTTTATGTTTCATGTGATTTTCAAAAAGTATGACAAATCCTCTTTCCTTGCCATTACTTGCAAAATAATTTATAAATGAAGAAAGAATATCCTGTCCCTTAGTTATCCCAGATAGAGGAATCAAGCTGCATAATTCTTCATAAACTCAATCATTGTCGCAATATCTTGCAATTACTGCAAGGTGTGCAACATCAGTTACATCGGTACTTTCATCAGGAGCAACACTAAGTGCAACAGTTTCTTGTAATCCAGAATTCTGCTTAGTTGTTACATTTTCTGCCATTTCGGTTATTCATCTTTCAGTAGTTTGTGCAGAAGCCGGTATTTCTTGAATTTGGGATAATATTGTTTGTAGATTTGGTCAAAACTGCTAAACAATATTTCAGCACTTTTTTAAAAATGTGTTCATTATAAATTTGCCATCCACCATCTGTGAAAAATTTGCCTTTGGAAGCTACACAGTGAGCAATTACAAAATTACATTTGGTTTGGTTCCAATTGTTTTTTTTTTTTTTTAAAGTAACTTGTTTCTTATATCCAGTAACAGCTCTTTTTATAGCTTTACATTTCTTATCACAATTTTGAAATGTCGACTAATGTTTAGTTTGAAAATGTCTTTGTACACTTGACGTCTGACACTTTCATGACATAATACACAATCATGAAGCACAATCCTTTTGTTGTACAAATATTTGTTCAAGGGTCTTGAAAACCATGAACATCAAGCTTTCTTTTTTAGTGACCATTTGATTAAATATGTAGGTTTGAATTCTTAAAATAATTAAACAAATAAAATACAAGTTTTCACAATGAAACTAAAAACATGTCATGAAGTTAAAAGTAAACTACAGTGCGCTATAGGACATGTTCAAATTAAATTTTACTTTTGACTGAAATCATACTCGATAGTCATATATCAGCGCGTCAAACTGAATGGAATGAGAGAAAGTGGGCACGGCAGGAAGGCACAAAGAGGAGAGCCAGGGCGATATGTCTTTATCTGATAACTTTGTAGAGTGGTGTAAAGTACCACTGCTGACGCTTGTTCTATTACTTTGATTCTCGCTCTTGTAAATCATTTACCTCCAGAAAAGCGGCCATACAATATAGCTTAGCATATGATATGCTAAGTTGTATTACCTGTATGCAAAATAGTAATAATAGATAATTATAAATTGGTTGACGCTCTTTAATGTAAATATGCCATTCCTTATTCAAAACCGCTGGATATAAGAGTTAAAAAAATCAATATTGCTGAAAGATCCTGGTTCTGAGTTGAAGTATCCAGAAAGCAGAGTATGGTTTCAGAAATATCTAATTAGAAAAGTAGTAGTAGTAGTAGTAGGTTTTTTCTGGTGCAAAATCTTAACAGTTATATGTGCCGAACATACTGATCTGATTGGATAAAGAGTTGCTGAGTTAATAGTATAAGAAGGAAGAAAGAATGAGAATTATGAAATAAATGAGAAATTGTAATTAAAGTGAGTGTTACATGTGTTTAGAAACAGCATACTGCATTTAAATTTTGAAAATATTCTAACATGAAACTAGTTGTAATTATTTTGCAGTTTTTCATAATAAAATTTTAATATCCTCATACCATACAAATTTACAAATTCCTGTAAATTTAATTTGTATTCAATTGCATATTAAATAATTAAATGTTTGAGAGCTACATTAGCTCATATACAGAGATGAGATGTAAGATATTGCATTAATGAATCTGGTAAAATGAAATATGGAAATTCATTTGCAAAAAAAGTGCAGAGAGGAGTTAGCTTTCATTTTCTTGAAACCATAATTCTAATTATTAACTTACACATTCATTTCTCTGAATATGTTATAATTTTTGGCTTGACTGAAGTATCTTAATGCAGTGGTTAGTTCTCAGCCTCTTTTGCCTCATGCGTCCTTTTCATTATTGATACACGATCACCCCTTTTTTAAAACTTGAAAATACATGTACATTTATTTAAATTTAGGTTATTTTTTAACATGTTTTATAAATTGAACAAGAAAAAGTATAGAAAATGTTGATGAATACCAACGCTTGACTAAATGTAATTTTTTTATATTCATAAACTAATAACTAACAGGTAAATAGAAGGCTGACTACAATCCCTCTCCTGAAACTTTAAAATTCCTTCCTGGTTGAGAACCCAATGTCTTAATAGCTGTAATTTTATTTATGCTTATCTTCAGGGAAATTACTGAATTATTGCACAATAGTTTTCATTTATCATTATTAATTTTCTATAACTTTTAATCTTCTTCCACTTCTAATAGAAAATTTAATTAAATATTAAACGTGTGTTTCTATTTTGTGAATATTTAATACATTTAAAGCAGAAACAGAACTAATTTTTCGGTAAAAAAACTATTTGGCTTATTGGAAACAATGTACTTTTAACTGCATTGTTTAAATTTCATTTCATTGATAGCTATAATTTGTGGTAATTAAAATGTGCATAAACATGAGCATAATGTCCTAATTTAAAATAGTAAATGTATCTAATTAATTTTCTGATATACTTGTATTAATTGCTACTCATAGGATCATTTGAAACTGTTTCACTTAAAAAGTCTGATGCAGTTTTATTCCTTTTTTTTTTTTTTTTTTAGCATTTGAGCCCTTTGTTAAAAACCAGTACATATACCCAGACTTGTGTACAGTGGCATTTGTTGCAGTCAAATATATCAGAGAAGTCACTTATTAATGCTGGTCATACAAATAACATTGATGAACTGAAAGAAGAGATTCTAACTTTATTACTAGTCATTGAACAAAAAGATAAAGAATTATCTGATATGAAGCAGGAATTAGATACTGTACAGGTATGTTTTGATTATGCAGTATGTAATAAAAATATTTATTGTTTATATTTAATTTTTTCTTTGAAAGGTTATATTCATGTAATAGAGATACTTTCTAGTAGTACAGTCAAAAGTCGTTAATTCGGACACCCATAATTCGGAATGATCTATAATCCGGACATTAAAACTAAAAACTTTCTGCGCATGCGCCGCGTTGACACAAGCGCAGAGGCGTTCACGCGTGCGCGTAAGACCTTTTACGACTGCGCATATGAGTGTGCGCAAGTGCAGAATACGTTTTCGCGTGCGCATTTCATGTATAATGGACGTATAAGCTAAAATTATCTAATTATCTATTTCAGTTAATGTTGATGATTGCATTGTTCCTTAATTTTCGAATTGCATCCGGCTTATATTTTTTGCAGACTGTAAGAGCAATTTTATAAAAGTAAGCTTAAACTTTCGATTATATCAAATAGAATTTCCGATATATATTTGTTAATATGTAAAGGATCTAAGGCTAAAGTATGTTTTGAAATCCGAAATCTGTTTATCAATTTCACACTGCTCGGCGGCGGGCGCGTAATGAATTGGAAGTTGATTTGTCAGCACTATCCTTATCTTCAGCGCAGATGTTTTTATTTTATTTGGCTTATAATTCCTTACCAAATGTAGTATTTCATCTCGATATGCTCCGTCTTTGATATGATTTAAAACAAGTTCCTCGTCATTATAATTCGCTTCCGATAGCGAAGAAAAGTGACAGAGGTTATTGAAAACAAAAAAATTTCGATTGACAAATTAGTCGGTGTTCTTGACACAGCAATTATAGGACTTGAACGGCGGAACTTTGTAACTGAACAAGAAATTATGTCTGTTTAATAGAATTAAAGAGAAAGTATTATTACATGAAATGAAGCAAAACTTAAACAACTTACATTGAAAGAAATGTTTAATAAAGTAAACAAATAAATATTAAGCTTTTTCTTTTTGCAAATTTTGATACCCTTTAGATCATAATTGTTCTTTATTTCATAAATTACGGTTTCATATTTTTAATTTTAGAATTTCTGCATGCCATCTTACGAGATTTAAACTGATGATCTATAATCCGGAAAAATCGATAATCCGGAATCGCCGAAGTCCCGACGAATCCAGATTAACGACTTTTGACTGTATTCATATTTTATTGCAGCACATTACAATTTCTTAATTTTACCTTTGCTATTATGTTTGATTGGACTATTGAGATTTTTATGTATTTTGAGATCCTGTTTTTTTTTGTTTTAATTATTATTTTTCTACTTGTTGATGATTATTTGAGAATCCTGTAGCAGCTGTTTATTTTAATATTCTTTTCAATTAAGTAAAAAATATTAAAGTCCTTGTGGTACTTTTCATTTATAATAATAGTTTTATGTATATATGGTATATATAGTATGTTTAATGTTAATGTTTCTTTCTGTTTACACAACAAAGTGACGAGTTTTAAAAACTACATTTTGTTTAGAATATAATTCTTGTTTTACTGTAATTTTTTATTTGTGTTTATATATAGCAAATTTTTATTATAGCACTCTTGTTTACTTCTTTTCCTCAGAAAAATACCACCTATTTCTAAAATACCATGAACCAGTCAGTATATATATATATTAAATCATGGAGATGTTTAAAAGTTCTGTAGTTCTGCAGTTTAAAAGTTCTGTTCTTGCATCTGTATTTTTTCTTAGATATGTTATAAATTTTCTTTTTTAAAAATTTATTTAGGACTATGTGAAAGAAAGGAAGGACTTGCTTGAACGGCTAGCATCTTCTTGTTCTGTTAATAATGAACTTATGAGACATTTGAGGAAGTTAGGAAATTTTCTGGAAGATCTTTTGCAAAATAAGAGTTTTGATGCCAGTAGTCTTGAAAATATAAGTGAAACATCTGAATTTTTATCTCAGTTATCTAGGTGCCTTGATGAGAGCTTAAAATTATCTCATGTATTGTCTGATAACCTATCCAGTAAGTAATTAATAAAAAAATCTAGATCTTTAGAAATCTTTAGAAATATTTTTAACATAATTATTTTTGGACGAGTGAAAAGAAAAAATTAAAATACAGTTTTAATATAGTTTTTGATATGAAAATTAAAAAAATACAGCATTTTTTAAACTTTTATTTACATGTGTATATATTTTTTTTTAAATATTAGTTTATTTTGCTGTTTTTATAAACCTTTAAAAAAAATTAAAGCTTTAGTTTATTATTTTATCCAAATACATAATGTAGATACATGCATTGCTGCTGAATGTATACATTTGCACAAAATACCAAGTTAAACAGAGGTGTAATGTAGATTGCCATAAAAGGCTGAAATATTATTTCTCTTCCTCATCAGAAACAAAAACTAGATTTTAGGAAACATGAACCAAATTTTTTAGCAAAAAAGTTAATTTATATTTAAACATATCAGTTCAATATAGTTGATATTTTCATCATTATTATCAAAGAATATCAATTGAAAAGTTATCATAATGAAGAAGTAGGAAGTAACATGAACACATCTTAAGCCCCTTAGTATTGTAAGCAAAGTAAAAAAAAAAAAAAAAAAAAAGTCTTGAGTTGAATGACATTCACATGCCTTAAAATTGTTAAAGAAATGTCTAAACTAAATTTTATTGGATTATTTTATATATGACAAATTAAAAATTTGAAATTTAATTTCTCTTTTGGGTACTGTAAAATGTTAATTTTGTATAGTACATTAATTAATAATTTATCTAAATAAATGGAATGGTACCCTTATGCAGCTTTCTAAAAATATAACTGGGAAGTGATTGTTAGTTTTCAGTTTTTTAGCAATGTTCTATAGGTATGATGTGATTCCATATACCATGATACTAGTTTTAAAGAAAATCAAATTGAAATTTTAGTAATTTTTTAAAATATATAAGAATGTATTGTTTTATATCTTGCTGTTTTGTAATAAATATTGCTTTCTTATTGTTTTAGTGTCTGAAACTAGAATTATAGATTCTGATATATCAGTGAGTAAAGACAATGTATTTGGTGCTAAAAGGTATGTTACATTTTTGATTCCATTGTAGTAAGTAGAATTAATAGTTTATAATATTGTTGCATTATTTCTCTAATTCTTCTGACACCAGTTGTTACATTATTCTTTTACTTCACATTCATACGGGGTTCGTAGATTTGGAGTGAATAACGACGACACTTTATGAAGTATCGAAACGCACTTTATTTGGACAATATTTTCGGGACAGCTCCAAACACGTTTTACAGTCGTCGATGAACTACTATAAACACGCTGACACGATCAGCGACACAGCCTTCAGGTTATCAGGCTATCATGGTGAAGACAGCTTCCTGCAAAGCACCGGACTCTGCTTTCCAGAGTACAGCTCTCGACTCTGCTTGGTCGTTGTCGGAACTCCACGTACTCTCGAGACTCTCCACGCTACAACTCGCGATGCACTCGACGACACACAGAGCACGCTCCCGACTCTCTGTTCAGTCGTTTCCGGAGCTCAACACGCTCTCTCGACGATGCACTATCCGCGATACTCTACGAGGCTCTTTCGGTTCACTTGACGACCCACTGGGCACTCGCTGCCCATCTGTTAACTCGATCGCCTCCGCAGGGATTGACTCGCTAGACGAGACACACTCACTCGATAAGAGACGTACACTTCCTCTCAATGAAGCACACACTTTCTGACTGCGGACCAGCAGGGTTTATATAGCTTTCGGCTTGTGTTCGGGAACATTCTGGACTAAACCGGTAAGAATTCGTTCCAGAAGGTTCTCCAGCCGTCCATGGTATATCGCCAGTTTTGTCACCAGATGGGCGATTTCTCACCAAATGTAGCAACCCTGCCATCCTTCCTACTTTATGGCAACCCTAAAACTGCATTGCGGAGAAGCCATCTTACCGCGCTTGCACATTTCGTAACAATATAATAATTTGCGTGTGTATTTTTTTAAAAATTGGAAAGCAGATTATGAATTGGGATTGATTAAAGAATTAGTTTTTAAAGATTTATGCACTGTGTTTCTGGGTATCAAGAGCTTTATAATCTTTTCATATAATTTTGAAAATTGTATTAAAAAATAGTGTTAAAACTTTGTTTTGATGCTTTTTCTTAGCTGAAAATGTGAATTTTATTATTCTAAAAAGAGATTGTTTCATAAATATATGATTGCAAACTAGCATTGCATTAGCTTGCATAAAATTGCTATAATAATCAAATTAAATTAATAATGCAGTATTTTAATTAGGTAAAATTCAGCTCTAGACTGACTTTAATTTAAATAATATAATGTACATTGGGATAATCCAGTGTGTGTCTGTGTGCTTCAAAGAGCAAAATCTCAAATTTTTAAAATTTCCAGTATACTCTGGAAAGCATAAAAGTGTTTAATTGTTATGACTTTTGATTTATTATGCAAAACTTATAAAAAGCAATACTTTCAAGACTGTATTCCCTCTTTCTTTTCCATATTACTTTAATAGATATTTTTCATTTTATGTCTTATTATAAAATTAGGTTAATTTAAAGTAGTTTTTTTAACACTATTTTAATGTTAATATTGATTTTATGCATGATTTTTGCAGTTTCTCAAAAATACACTTTAAAATACTTAATTTTTTCAGTTTAAGTTATCCTCATTTGCATTCTTCACTAACTGGGCAAGCACTCCAAGAACTATCCATTTTACCAGATGAAGGTAGGAATTTTCAACCATCTTACCAGGAATCCTTCAAAAATTTTGCTGGAACAGGCAAGAGAAGGTGGTCTCTTTCTGCTCAGCATAATTCTGTGAAAAACAGCTCAGTGATGAATTCAGAAAATGTTATTGTATTGAGAACTAGCAGCAATGAGGATTTGATATTGCTTTTGAACAAGAATGGAGATCCAGCTGATGTGCTTCTCAGAAGTAAACAGTCTCATCTTAATCAAAACATAATCCCTCCTGTATTAGGTGATGGAGACCAACTTCGCAGGCGATGTTTGGAAAATAACTCCATGCTTAATACAACTTACTGGAATTCTCAGACATCTAACTTCCATCAGTATGCTGGAGATTTGTGCAATGTTGAAAACAAAGATGCCAAATCAAATGTTGCATGGTATAACCAGTGTTTGTCTTCCGATTCTGATATCTGGTCTGAGCCAGACAGAGATATTTCAATGCAAAGGATTGGTATTGATGTAAAAACTTCACCAACTGCCCAAAAGTCTCCACGTAGATCTCGGTTCAAGGACAGAAGGACAACAGAGGAGCTTAGTTCTGAAAAAAATACTTCAAATAATGGAAGTTTCAAAATTCAGTCTTGGTCAAGAAGGCGGCGAAGTGGTGGTAAAAATAGCTTGCTTTCAATGTGCTTTGCTCTACTCTTGCCTGTTTCTGCATGATTTTGTTCGAAGACATAGCATGTTTATATTTGCTTTGTGTAAAAAAATGTTTTTTGTTCTCTGTGTTGTAATTATAAAAAAAAATTATTTTTTTTCTCTATTTCCTGTTCAACTTGTTTGCTTATATAGTAATAATATGCTACATTGATAAATGTTAGGGTAACATTTCATCATTATTATTATCAAATAGTAGCTGCATCAGTTTCAGTGTTGCTGTTTGGCTATGAAAGATACAAATCTATCGTATGTAATATTTTCTTCCAACCTATTGTCATCAGCATCTATCTAAAAAATATCCATTGTGTTGCCGGCTAAGCTGCCATGATTTTTTAGATAGGATTATACTTTGCTTATATGAGCTGAATTAACAGATGTGTTTGCATGATTAATTTTTTTGTCCATCTTTAAGATAATCTTACTACTACTAACATATTAGTAACTGCCTGGAATTTTTTTTTTTTTAAACTATTGATGAAAAAATGTTACTTTAGTATTTTGTTTTATTGCAGTACATATTATACTGAAATTAAACTTAACCACATTAACTGAAGCAAAATTCCATTTTTAAACCAATACTTTGAAATTGTAAATAGTTTCATTTTTAAACCAATAAATTCCATTTTAAACCAATACTTTGAAACTTTTAAACCAATACTTTGAAAATGTATTAAGTCTATTAAATTGTTGAAATAATGTACAGTTTATTTCGTAAATTTGTCTTTTGTTTTCATTCAACTGTATAAATCCAAGCATTATATCAAAGGTAAACTCAGCATAGTCATCTCATTTCATAACTGCATATTTTTACTTTGTTGCTTGTTCGTATTAGTAATAATATGTAATTTTTACCTCTACTATATCATTACCAGTTATAATTGATAAACAGAAATTAGTGTTTAATAAAAAGAGCTAACTAATAGTTAAGAAATACAATATTAAATGTGCTTTGAAAATTAATATATGTTCATAAGGTATTTATATTATTTTGTTCAAATTTATAAATTTCTGAAGCAGCAGGAAATTAAGTTTTGTTTTTGTTATCATCATACTTTCATTTTATTAATTCTGTATGTAAGTGGATCATACAGATATATGATTTATGCTAGTGTAATCCATAGGTAAGCTTATTAAAATTCCATAATTGTTGTAAACCTGTTCATATGTAGTTGTTTATGTTTTCTGAGCATTTTGTAAAAGTGCTTCAAATAAAAATTTTTTTACCCTTCTTTAATTTCAGCCTTTTAAAAAAATTTCGATATGCATGTTTTGTAAAGTTGTTTTTTTTTTTCCTTTTCTCTTTCTTTTTAAAATTTTTTGTGGTGAACCTATTCATATGTTTTATTGTAGTATAACATAATGCATATTTATGTGTATTTCCAATATTAAAAAACTAAATCCATGCTATTTAATATGTATCATGAAGCTTGCATACATTTAGCATTTATGACAGTACGAAGCTTAGATTAATTATGTTAAGTTCTTTATTCATCTAGGTACTGCGTCAAAACGCCTATTTGTGAAAGAGAATATGGGAAAAAGAGATTACAAATTAGACAAACATTTCTCTGTGCTTTCTGAAAAATTTCCACCTTTATGTTCATTGATGGAACAGCTCCAAAAAATAAATGAATCAAAAGTAAATATGAATGCTATTTTTACAAAAATTTCATTCCTGATGATGTTATAATATTTGATGTTATAATATTGATCTAAAAATATTTAATTAAAATTTGAAAAATGGATAACGATATTTAGAAAGTATTTAAAAATTTAAACAAGACTTTAATGATTTCTGAAAAATTATAAGGCAGAGTTTGTTATATTTTGCACTGACAGATTGAAAAGTAGCCAAAATGGGAAAGTAATCAAATTTTTATACAAACTATCAATTTTAAGATTTATAAAAGTAGTAATTGATATAGGGATTGGAACAAACATGTGTAAATTAGTTATATAATCTTCAAATAAATTACATATATTAGGTGCATACATAATCTATTTGGCATTAAAAATATCTTTCAGTGGAGATCAGTTAAAATTGTTACATATAAGAGAAAATGATTTTTGTAGTTATTTTTATAGAAAAGAAACTAGTAATCTTCATAATTCATCATGCATAATTTTTATCTGTAAAAGTGGATTTCAAATTGGAATATTTTACCTGTTTACTAGATCCCTCCCTCATCTGTATATATATTGTAAAATCCAGTTAACTGGTCAAGTAACTCTAGTTCCTTTATTTATATTATGTATGTAAATCAAGGGAGAAAATACTTTTTCTTGAATATTTGTATATTCTGTTCGTTCAAAATTAAGTTATATCTAAAAGTACTTATTTTGTATGCTAATGCTAATAAGGATTAAAATATATGTATATAAGAGAGATAAAAAATGTGTAAATATGAATGATAATTTAAATTAGGGTACTTTTCCGTTTCGCCGGCGCAAATCTCGCCGAGCAGACTTTATTGGCGACAAAATACAGTATGCACATAAAAAATGTTAACAAAAGCTAGTTCTGAGAATTTTTTATTCTGAAGGCATAAACATTTTAATAGCGTTTAAAATTTTGTAAAAAGCCAATAAATAAAGACAATAAATTTGTAAAAAGACATAAATTTTAAGAATTTACTATGCTTTCATGGTTCAACATCCTGAGTTGCCAGTTCGTATCATGTTACTCCAAGTGATCTCATCCCACGTTAACTACGCTACAAAAATCTAATTCTCTCAGTAATTATTTACATTAATTTCAAGTTAAATCTTAGTTTAGAATACAAGTTTAAATGCAAGAATTATTTCAATTTGTACAAATAGTTTACTCAGAAGTTATGTAAAATAGCAGTGCTTTACTTCTTTAGTGCATTCTCATTAGAAATGAATTTAACCCTTGACTTTGCCTTTTCTATAATTTCCCCTTTGGATGAGCGGTGTGATTTCATCCTAATTGACTTAATTACCGCGAATGGCCTTAGGGCATAAAATTGAACTATCTGGTAAAAATTCTATGTAATTGTATGTCAATATGGAAAGAGACAATCAATCTGATAAGAAATGGAGGTAACTTGTTTTGAAAATGAAGCGTAAAAGGTTAACAAAGAGGATATTCTGTTTGGCACCAGTTGTACCATTATTGGTGACTTTATCGCCTGAGCCGGCAAAGCGGAAAAGTACCTAAATTAGCAATATAGCCATTTAATGCTCAGTTTTAATTTCGAAATTTCCCTTTTCTGTTTTAAAATTAGTAACCTTTTTCTGCATTGCCTTATTTTGAGACTAATTCATGTTATAATGATTCTTGTATAATGCTGGTGATGTAAATGAAACTTAAACAGCAAATAATAATTTTACAGCAGTATCAATTATCCACTCAAATGCATTGAGAACCAAAATTAACTCATTTTGAATTAAGACTTCATCCTGAACACAACTTACTTGCTTTCTGTACTTCAGCCTAGCTGAGTTGCTGTTTGCTGCTATCTTACTCGAAAGCTATAAAAATGTAAATGTTTTGAAATAGGCAGGAGTAGTGCCAAATTGCTTGTGGCCTCAACATTTTTTTTTTTTTTTTAATAAAGATGATTATTTAATCAGTTGGGGCTGCTTTTCATTTTGGATCAACATTCTATGCCATAATTATTTCTACAATATCATTGCAGCTACGTTTGCTTTATTAAAATGATTATTTGCTTTCATTACACATACACACACATGTATATATATATTACAGGTTTTCATTCTAAATTTGTTTTCTCTCTACAGGTTTTCATTCTAAACTTGAACAGTTGCTACAGTTTTGTTCTTTTTCGTTTCTTCTCTTCAGTGTCATCTTATTCTTCCTCACTTTTTCTTGCACTCTCCCTAAACTTTCAACTTTTACGAAATCAGATTTGTCTCTTTCAAATCAAATTTAATTGTAAAAAAAAATTATTTTTTAAAGCTCCTTTTGAGGAGGGGATAAAATGTGAATTTGGAGAAGTTCAAAATTTTATTTATTGCAAAGATTACATCAACTTTATATTTAATAATAATTATCGATTCATTAAACATGATATGTATGGGATTCATAGTTAGGTGATATGTTTTCTGAAAATCATGTTTAGATTTTGTTGTGTAATTATCATACACATACCTAGTATGTATTGGTTCTCCAGCAATAGCTGCTGATAACCTAATATGTATTAGTTCTCCTGCAGCAGCTTCTGTAACTTCATGCACATATTTGTTCTGTAGCTGTGACGAGTTTTAGAGGTAACTTTTGCAACAGAACAGAATATCAATGATCTTAATCAAGTCCATGTTTGTATGGACCTTAAAAGCACTTAAAAGTCCTTGGGTTTTTATAAAATTATTTTTGGTCCATAAGAGTCCTCAATTTCAGTCAAAACCAGCAAAGGGTCCTTAACTTTACTCACCTGACATTTCTGTCCCCCCAAGCACCGTTTGAGTGTGAATTAACATTTTGGGGAGAATATTTATTGCTGATGCATCAACAAATATGTATTTGATGGGTTGACATTTGAATTCTTTTGAAATTATGTGGCTAAATTTGGCGACTTATAAAACATTTTGGCAAATTTTAAGATCAGTTGTTATATAAACATTTTTATTCCGAGATTTGCAAAATTTTGATGATTTTTCTTGCAAACATAATAACATTTATAAGTATCATAAAAATAATGATAATATATTAAATTTATATTTAAGAAACAACATTAAAATGAAATATTTTTATTTTCTCTTGCCATTTTTTAAAGTGACATTACTTTCCATTTTGGTGACTTAGGAATATTTTGATTCTGAAAATTAAACAAGATAATAAATGCTCTAAAGCACAGTTTCTGAAACCTATATAGATTAAACAAAAATGCTACTATAATTATTTGAAATGCAATTCCGTTTATCACCGTTTATATTTTTTTGAAAGAGTTTTTTTCCCATGTAATAATTTCAGAATATTTAAATGTGTGTCAGTTTTCTCTTGAAAATGCAGATTATACTTCTATTTTCTGATTTTTTTTCTTCAGAAACCTTCTGGGTTTTTGCTGTTACAGATTTGGTAGGGATAATATTTCTTTTGGATTTTAGCCCTTGTGCATCGGAAGGTCTAAAGGCAAGATTTATAGATTATTATTTTGAAGACAAGTTTTATAGACCTACAATTTTCAGAAAAATGTGATGAAACAAAAAGAGTCTTCATGGTATTAATGCATAATAGACATACTTTATAGGAAATTTGTGATTAATTTCCTGTGTTTTGGAGAATTTTTGGAAGAACTGTGAAAACAAAATTACTTGAATTTTCCCCTTTTGATCCCAGAAGTCTTTCATGTAACATGTTTATCTTCCCTTTATTTTGTAATCTTTCAATTAGACACAAGCATTGATGCAAGGAAAACAAAGAAGGTGAAAACCAATAATTTATTAAAAGATTCATCTCGTATGTCTCAACACCTGCCGTAAATTTTGTTGCTCAGTGATTCACTAAATTCTAAAAATTCTGCCATGCCAGCTCTGGTGTTGGACTTGACCTTTCATCATTTCATATTTATTCTCAATACTCAAAGAAATTTTGAGCTACTTAACACCCAAAATAGAAGCTTTTCAAAGAAATAAAATTGAAAAAGAAAGAAATTATTTATTTGCATTTGAATCAAAACCTAATTATTTTGTTATGAAACTTTTAATTGCTCTAGAAGTTTATTAATGATTTATTTATTTTCTTTGTTTAGAAGTCAAGTGCTGTTGAAGATATTTATGATGAATTGCATGGTTTAATGTCAACTGTAAATGAAACATTACTTAAACTTTCAGTTCTAAAAGGTAAGAACTAAAAACAAAAATTACAAAATATTTGCTGAATAATTTCAATATTCATATGATATGCATCTCAGTGACATTTTTTCAATCTTTGTAATTCTTTTTTCTTTTATTTTTAAATAGAAAATTCCAAGTCATTAGTAATATGTGAGAAATGTGCTGTACATGAATTGTTGTTAGAACTTGATAAAACACGGAAGAGAATATGTGGTTCAGATGTATTACAGAATTTAACGGAATCTAATGCAGAAAAGGTTATTCATAAGTTTTTAATGGAAGTAGATGCTCTAAAAAAGGAATTAGAAGAACCACATGCAATTTTATCATCTGGTGCTGAAAGCTCAGAATATGAATCTGGGGCAGCTAAAAAGACTGAGCAGTTTGATAATTCATTTCAGGATCCGAATCTAAACAACCTGAAGAACAGACTTAAAGAAGCAGAAGATGAAAATAACAAACTGGAGAATAAAATAAAGGAAATGAAAGAAGTATTTCAAAAAGAAAAGAATATTACTGAAAACTTAAAAACAGAAAAGCTTGAATTAGCAAATCTTGTTAATCAACTGAAAGAGGAAATTTCTGATTTGAATGAAAAGAAAAAGGCCCTTATGTTACAAAATTCTCATTTTAAGCAAGAACTAATAGAAGCAAATGGAACTAGTGGAAATTTAAAAAGTGTGATAAAAGATCTTGAGACAAAAGTTTTGGAATCCAGCAATATGTGTGATAGTTTAAAAGAGGAATTAGGAAAATCTAAAGAGCAATTAATAAATTTGGATGCAAAATGCTATGAACAAGACTTGAGAAACAGTTCAAAGGAGAAAAGTGAGTTAAATGATATGTTAAAAACTGTTGAAGTTAATGCTGTAGAAGAAAAAAATAAAGTTTTAAATGATGTTAAAAAGTTAGTTGATGAAAAGAATGATCTTTTAATGAAGCTTAAAACTGAAAAAGATAAAACAAAGTTCCTTGAAAAGGAGAAAATTGAACTGAGTGATAAGTTAATTAAAAATGAGAAAGAAAATTCATTACTGCATGTTTCAATAAAAGAATTAAAAGACTCTGTTGCTGTGGTCCTGAAGGAGAAAGATCTTCTAAAAGCTGAACTGACTTCATCTAATTCTGTGTGTGATGAACTGAGTAATGATCTTGTAAAAATGCGAGAAAAATTAGAAAAGATGGAAGTAAAGTGTTTTTCATATGAGAAAGACCTTCAGACCTCTTCATATGTTAAACAGGATTTCATTAATAAACTTCTACATTTAAAGAATGAAATACTTTTGAATGTGACTAGGTTAAATGATGCATGCAAAGAGCATCTGAAGGTGGAATTGGGAAGTCACAGTAATGAAGACAGTCCAGATAATGTAACTAGATTTGATTTGGTTGCTGATAATCAAATTGAAAATCTGTTTAAAGGTATCATTTCTGAAATCAATAAGTTTGCAAAGATAATTAGGACCCTAGAACATGTGCTTGAAAATACTTATTCTAAAATTCAGGAAAGCAGATCCTCTGAAGAGAAACACAAGTTAAAAATTGAGTTTCTTGCGAAAGAGTTGGAATCGAAAAAGTTTGACACCGAAAAGCTTAAGAATGAAATTGATAGATGGAAATCTGAAGTTGATGAAAAAGTGCAAATTATTCTTGACAAGGAAAATACATTAAAAGAAACTAATCTAAAAATAGTATCTTTGAATGAAAAACTTGGGAATGCAGAGGAACAAATTCAGGAAAAGATAAAACATTTAAATTTAAAAGATGATGAATTAACTAAATTACAAGAAATAATTTTCAATCTTCAGACTCAAATAAATAAACTCTTGTCTGAGAAAATGAATTTTGATAACAGACGTTTAAGTTTCTCCAAAAGCGTAAAAGATGTTGCAACTAGTCCTTCGCATGAGTTCGGTGTTTTGCATGAACAAATGTCAACTGTTCATCAAGCTGTCGGAACTGAAGATGAAGTTGGATTAGGCAAAGCTCAACAGCAGTCAGGAAATGATTCTTTTAGTTCTCAGAGTTCTAAGGAGGACAAGGACCTTGAATCAACTTCTATGCATAAAAAAATTAATGAGAAGCTTATAAAAAAGATTAAAGCCTTGGAAGCTAAGCTGTCCATGTGTGAAAAACGAGCAGATATCTTGGAAAAAGAAAAGAATGATTTAAGAAATAGTGTCTTAGAACAAGTACATAGCAATAAAAGAATAAGTGGTGGGTCAGAAGACTTAAGTCAAAAAATTACAGATCTAGAGTTAAAATTGGAAAAAAAGAATTCTTTTATCAAAGAATTAAAGTCAGAATTACATAGAACGTGCAATTCTCTTGTTGACAAGCAGAAAGAAGTTGATGACTTGGAGCAAAAACTATCAGAATATGTAAATATTGGTCAGAAATATGAAACAGAGCATCGGGATATTGCTACTGCTCATTCAGAAATATTACAATCAAATACTGAAGCTCAATTTTTGGAATTAAGAAGACACAAATGGGATTTGATACAAGAAATATTTAAGTTGCAGAAACACTTTTATGAAGAAAGAGAAATTCATGTTGGGCATTTTGAAAAATTTAAAAATTATATAATAACACTTCATTCACGGCAAAAATCTTTCCCGTGGATGAAATCTGGAAGTGAACCTCTTTTGAATTCCTTACAGGATAAAGTTGCTGATAATTTATCACAGAACAGAATTCTGGAATATCTTAATCTTGATTTAGATATTGATATTGAATGTCTTCAAAATCTGAAAATATTTCTTAAAAGGTTTTTCATGCCTCAGATATCTAAAAAATCCCAGCATTCATTACCAGAAACTAATGATCCTAATTTGGGTGATACCAGTATCTCTGTGAAAAAACCTACAGAAATCAGTGAAATCTCTAAACAGAGCAAGGAATTTGAAAATATTCTGTGTAAAAAACCATCTGAAGCAGCAGATTTTATTAGAAGCTTCACTGATGCTGGATCACATTCCAAGGAAAACAAGTATGCATTTTTTATTATATTTCATTTGAATAAACATTTTCAACCTTTATACTATGTAATGAAACTTTGTCTGTCTGATATTTATATGTATGAAACTTATGAAAGAGGTTGTATAAGACTTTCATATTGATTATCTTTCTTTATAAAGCAGAAGTATCAGTTTTCTTGATCCAAAAGATCAAGCAGTTATTAATTATTTCTTGGGAATAAAGAAGACAAAATATTCAAAATATTTTCAGAATAATTTATAATTAAGGATGATTGTGAAAAAGTTTTCAGTAGTCCATTATCAAATAGGGGTTAGGAGGGAAAGATATTAAACATAAAGTATTTTTTAGTATAAAATAATTCTTTTTACTTCTTTGTATGAAGTAAAAAGGAATTATTGTAATCGCAAAAAGTTTCAGGCAGCATATTTCAACAAAAATATCCGTTTTGACCGCTATCGAATGCAATGTAATGATGTTTTTGATATCTGTAGTAAGGACAGAATAAAATACTCTTTTCCTCAAAAAAAAATTAAAACTGCTTTAAAATTAATTCTGAAGAGAATTTTCGTGGCGTCTGTACGTACGTACGTACGTATCTCGCATAATCAAAAACTACGTATCTCGCATAACTCAAAAACGAGTAGCCTCAGACGTTGAAATTTTGTATATAGGACTGCTATAACATGTAGATGTGCACCTCGTATTTTGGTTGCAATCGGCAGCACCAAAACATATATAAATATATTTATATATATATCCAATCTATTACCTGGCTTAGTGATCTCAGTTTCTTTACTCTTATATGCTTGTAAATTGTACGTTTTTTGCTTTAAAAATGATTGAATTATGTTGTTTTTATCTTCCGGTTAAGGATTTTTTGCATTTAGTAAATCTGTGTGCAATATTTTTAGAATTATCAGCAATTTTAAAGTTGTTCAATTGCCGCTAAGCTTGTTTTTAATGGCGGCCATTGATATTTACATTTGAAACAGGAGACTAGTGGATTTGTTGCCAATCTAGAGAAACTTAGCTTGGCAACAACAAAGATAACGCATTCATTTATTATTGCCAATTAAATCATGCTTAATTCTTTCTGGAATTTTTTTCGAGGAAATAAGCGTTTGAGATTTACTTTGTAATTTTTAATATAGATATTTTGAGTTTTATGTATTTTGCCTTCTCGCGAAGTGAGAGAACTGAATTAATTAAATGAGAAATACGTAGTCGTCTGTGAAAACTGTTTCTGTTTTGTTTTGTTTTGCTTAATTTCTTTATACATAGTTCTAGCTTTATTATAGTATTTGAATAGAACATGGTAACAACGATTAGATAATTCTTAAAATAATATACATTTTGTGCATTCTGAGTTAATATGAATGAAATATAATACTGTAAGTAAAACTAGCGCCAGAGTGTCGCTATGGTAAACAAAGTGAATTTTAAAGAATGCATTTATTCTATTGTGGTTTATGCGCTGTCGGCGAAGTAGGTTTGGCTGATCTTTGGAATATGGTAAAAGGTAGTTTGGCGACATTTTGGACGCGATAAATTTTACTACCTAGGACTTTGGGAATAATGTAAGAAGTACTGAGTTCCGATTACGCATTATTTTGTGTGAGGAGGCAAATGAGAGATCATGAGATGTGCCATGTGACGTTAATGGACGAATCACTGTTCTTTAATCAGAAAAGGGTGTAAATTAAAAAAAAATATCTGCTGTACTTTATAGCATTAGTTTCATTCTATGTTTTGTGAGACAGTGTTGTTTAATATTTGGATTCCATGGCCCTATATAAAGTAAATCCAAAATTTTTATTCCATTTATGTGTAATTGAAAAGAATTGCTTAATTGCGGACATAAGTATGAATGTCCAATATGTGGGAATGAATGAGATTGTGTGAAACGAAGGATATTACAGATAAGTTTGAATGGCGGTTCAAGAAACCTGGTGAAATGGACATTTTGTAATCCGCCTGCACTCAAGATCTGTAGAAGATTAGGTAAGTTAGTATTTTAATTATTTTGAGGATATTATTTTATGATTGTTCTAAATTAAAGAGTAAATAAATTATATGGTATTATTGGAAAATTGTTATTAGCAATGATTAGTTTAAATAATTAGGATTGTAAGCTAATTTTATTAATTAATGTATGTGCTTATTTATATATTTAAGTAGTGCTTTTTAATTTAATTATATTTTATTTAATGATCGTGATTTTGAGAGTTATATGTTTGTGTATTTTGGAATCGTTTGAGTAGAAGTAAATGTGCATGGAAAGAATTAAGTATTTGACACTAAGTATTTGTAATCATTTTTAATTTTGTTATAAATTCGTGGTGATGTTTATAATAGATAATTTAGAGGTAAAAGTTTTTGGATATTTTATTTTATATGTGCAAATGTCCTCCCTGGAAAGGGTAATACTTTTTCGCGATCAGGTAATTTCATATGTCCTTTTACCAAATTTAAAGATCACAAAATTTCATGCATTTTCATGAAATTTTTCTAATTTATCAGAAAAAAGCAGTGTACATGGATATAGTGAAGAGTGTGCGCAATGCCCATTTTTGTGCAATTCTGGGATGTTTTTTAAGTAAAAAATAAGTCAACGTGTACATGTTTATTATTTTAATTAAGAAGTTATTTGTGAATTATGTTTGTAGCAATGGTAATTTGAGTGGAAAAAACGTCATGAAAATTTAAAATGAGACAAGTATTTGTAACATTTTTAATGTTTTGTTAGATCTTGGTGGTTTTAATGAAATTTAAGCAGTGGTTCTTAACCGGGGGGGTGGGGTGGGGTGGGGAAGCCCCTACCTAACCATAAAATTATTAATATCATTTATTAAATTTCTTATAATAAAATATTTGAAATCTGCAATAGTGTCCCCAATATTGAAGCTCATAAAAATTGGTAGCACCTAGCTCACTTATCGGCAAAAGACACAGGAAAGAGCCGGTGCCGATGGGCGTATACACTACGCTACGAAAAGGCATGAAACGCTACAAACGAACGCGAACAGGCAGCTAGGTGACGGAGAAAAGAAAAAAACTTTGTGGGAATACAAGCGGAGAACGTTATCCCAGCTTGCGCATGCGCTGAGTTCAATATGTGCTACTCCAATGGAATCTACGGATTCACAGATTTGTATCTGCATCTACTGCGCCTGTGTTAGGTTGAGTCGAGTCAACTATTGTGTCTGCGACATGTGTATTGTGTATTCTGACTTGTCCAGAAACCTCTTGAGACTAATACATTCTTAATTGCCCGTTCAAGCCGAATAGGATTCAGTGATATTACAAACGTAAGAACATTATATATATTATATTACATTATTTCTAAATAATTAAATCGATTATAGTGAACCCCACTATGTCAAAAAAAAAAACGACAATGGAACGATAAGTATGCCGGTTATGGATTTACCTGCACAACCGAAAAAGATGGCACGCAACGACCGCAATGCATCTTGTGTTCCAAGATATTTTCAAACAGCAATCTCAAACCATCAAAGTTATTAGAGCATTTCAACAATCTGCATGGTGGCGAAAAAGCGCATAGCATGAACAGCTTGAAGTCAAAGAAGGCTCGGTTTGATACCAGTGGAACTATCCTAAAATTGTGCGGACCAGCAATTCAAAAACCTTTATTAGAAGCGTCATATCAAGTGGCATATTTATGTGAAAAAAAAAAAAAAAAAGAAAAAAAAAAAAGAAACCTCACACGATCGCTGAAGAGTTGATTAAACCTTCTGCTTTAATTATTGCTAAAACAGTTTTAGATTCGGAAGCACATAAAAAAATCCAACAGATTCCATTATCGAATGATATTATACGATCGCGAATACAAGATCTCAGTGAAGATATTTTAATGCAAGTAATTGAAGACATAAAAATCAGTCCACTAAAAATAAGCATGCAACTGGATGAGTCAACTGATGTTGATAATTGTAGCCAACTTTTGGTATTTGTCAGGTATGTGAAGGAAAAAGAGGTGATAGAAGAATTTCTATTTTGTGAGCCACTGGAGGTGAATACGAGAGGAATTGATGTTTTCAATCGCATCAAAGATTTTTTTACTAAATATCAATTACCAATGAATGTGATTGGCTCAATATGCACTGATGGAGCCCCAGCAATGTTAGGCAAAAATTCAGGATTTTTTTCACACATGAAAAGAGAATTACCGGAAGTTATAATAACGCATTGCATGTTGCATCGTCATGCACTTGCGTCGAAAGCATTGCCAGAAAGTTTAAAACAACATCTAACTACAGCAGTAAATGTAGTAAAATACATCCGAGGGCGAGCAATTTTGAGAAGAAATCGGTGCTGATCATACCGTGTTCCTATTTCACACCGAAATACGATGGTTATCTAAGGGTCGCATGCTTAACAGAGTTTTTGAATTGCGTGAGGAAATTATTCAATTACTGACTAGTCAAAACTGTTATTTAGTAAAAGATTTTGAGAGTAATGATGCAATGCTGAGGCTGGCCTACTTAGCAGACATATTTAGCCATTTAAATGAATTGAATCTATCAATGCAAGGATTTGGTATAAATATAATAATATCTAGTGAAAAATTATCTTCATTTATCGCAAAATTAGAAATTTGGATACGTCGAGTAGAAAAGGGGAATTTTGCAAACTTTCCCTTGCTTGATTCTGTTATTGCGAAAAATGAAAAGAATACAATTATACCCGACATTGTAATACATTTGAGACGATTGAGCGAATCATTCAATGGATATTTTTCTACCGGAAATATTACCAAAACTCAGAGATGGATACTGGATCCATTTCTATTTGACTTAAATTTGATGGATGATAGTGATCTGAAAAAAGATCAACTTATTGAAATGCGAGCAAGTGGACATGTTCAAATGGAATTCGAACAATTAGAATTGCAACAATTCTGGTGTTCACAGTTACAACGTTATCCAGAGTTGGCGAACGGAGCACTGCAGTTACTCTTACCCTTTGCTACCACCTACTTGTGCGAAA